CAGAGGACAAAGCACTGCCCCCTGCTTTGCCTGCTGCCAGAGCCCTCCCAAATGGTGGACAAGCAGGACACTGGAGAACTGTCTGCCCCTTTGTGCCTCCCAGGCTGTGAGGCCAGTCTCTCAAGTTTCTCATCCACACAAAAAAAACAAACAAAAAGTCTCTCAGATCTTCCAGGTGTGGCATCTGAAGGCTCATATGGCAATGACAGTCTTAAAGTTGTCCTGTACGACTGCTACCCCTACCCCGGACCACCATGGAGGAGCCTAGGGTAATGTCTAGGTAAACTTTTCATTTTAATTGATACAGGGGCCATTTTGGACATCCTTTCTGCTCAAATGTATTCTTCTCCAACCTCTGATGAAGCTGATCACTAACTGTAGCTTCATTAGTTTGAGAGCAGGGAGCGTCCAGCTCCCCTACCCTCACCCCATGGCTGTAGCTGCCTGGTCAGTCCATTTCATGTGTAAACTCGGGCCTTGCTTTTTCTAGAGCTACTAGGTCTTCTGCTGAAAAAGACACACTGGTACAGTTTACCTTACAAAAGGAGATTTGGGGTTTCTAAAGGTTACAGGGGTTTAGGAAAATGATTTAGGATGCAAATTGTAAAGGTCTAAGGATGTAAAAGTTTAGGTAAGTTATAAGAGTCTAGGAAATTTTATGAGCTATACAAATGAGAGTTATAAAACTCTGAGAATATAAAAGCTTAAATAAGTTATGAGTCTGAAAAGGTGATTTAAGATATGTAAATGCAAGATCTTACAAAGATCTAAAAATATAATTTAGCCAATAGAATTAAGATTTTTCCCCTAAGCTCTTTAAGTTTACCTTCTATTCCCAGTCTATTTGTCCCGGCAGATTTTCAATCAACTAAAGACTGAAAACTGCTCCTGAATGGTCCAGACCCCCACCCATCCCCCTGCTTTGGGAGCCATGACAGGCTGCAGAAAAGACCCAGCAAGATGTAGGCCTCTGACTCAGCAACAGGTGCTGAGCTCCCGACCTTGTCCAACCTTGCCCTAGTCACTAGGAAACCAGATACCCTCCATGGGCAAGGAACCAATCAGAAGTTATCTCACAGACTCTGGATGTGCTTTATCAATAACAATGGAATGCAGAGCATAGCAACCACCCTGGGAGGGCCTCTAGGCATAGCAACTTTCCAGCAGCTGCAGCTGACAAATCAACACGAGACAGGTTGCCCAAGCCGGGAGGTGCATCAATCCTGAGACTGTTGCTATGCAACTAGGCGACCCCCCAAGACATTCCCCTTGCTCTATCCCAGTATATTCCCTGCCCCACTGCTGCTCGAGGTTCTCCTGCTTCACCCACTGTGTTGGGTGGACAAGGGAGCCTGAATTAACTCATAAAATGAAAAATTCTTTGTTTTTGCATTGAATCGGGTCTCTTGGTGATTTGGGGGTTTTGAGTTTGGGTATAACACTCCAAACACAACCGCCTCAGGTGGTCCTTCAAAACTACAGCAATGTAAACCAGTTGCTTCCAATGAAATTTCCTATCAACCTGAGCCCCAGCTCCAGACCAGAATTTCCAGACTTCTCCAAAGCAAACCAGATGCCTCCAGACCACTCTAGGACTTTCTGTGGTATTCCTGATTTCCTGGACTTGACAACAATACTGTATTTTAGCTAGGAAGCAGTTATAGAAGAGACTACATCAACCCTTGTCATTAACAAAATGCTGGAATGTTAGGTCCAAAGGAAATTATCAAGGAAGCCATTTCCCTATCACTGAGAAGAAACAAATGTCTGTCTATGGTGTCTATTAGCAAACCAAAGCTCATGCTGGCTTCCAGGCTCTGTTAGTATCGAAACTGCCTGTGAGACTTATGAAAGGGGTCACTCAAGATGTGGGCTGAGATCTGATTGAATGGCTTCATTAAAATATCAACTTTACCCCTACATAAAATGTGAACCAGTGATTCGATTCATGTGATATAGAGCCAGTGAGGAATGTGATAACTAAAAAGCTCCATTTTATGCTAGGCATCCACCTTGGCACCCAATAGCCACTTGTCTCTGACTCCAGTTGGTGCCTGGAAGATAAGCTCCCAGTAACCCTGACTCAGTGATCCCTGCCCAAAAGTGCACAGCTGGGACCATTTGCTTGTTATGATATGACTAACCTCTTTTTTGGCTTCTGTAACTCACTTATATAGATACTCAAAGGTTGCCTTGAGTTTCTTTAACCATTTCACTTGACAAAACAGACGAAGTTTTCATTGCTTGTGTAGACATTGAAGGTCTTTTGTTGTTTTCCCCTTTAAAAAAAATCTTTCCCCACACCCATCCTTCACAACATGCTTGAGATTCAGCTTTAAGACCCGGCTAGCAGCTGGTCAACACATCTTTCAACTGTAACTGTGTTGAGTCTATGGTCTTTTCCTGGAGGGTCACAAACTCCGTGACACAGACCCACCTAAAGCTTTTGGTGCTATGTTACGGTCTGCTGGGTCCCCTGGCCAGCAATACCAGGAGCTAGCTAGCTGAAAGCTCCTCTTTAGATACTCTTTTCTCTCTGGCTTCACTATGGGGTTGTGCACCATTCTTCCCTTGGGCTTGCTCATAGAATCTCAGATGAAGATGAGTCCCGTTAAACGCATTGGGTAGAGCCAGTATCCTGATTGAGTTGTAGATTCCTTTGCTGCTGTCTCTAAAGCCCCAGTAACCAACAGTTTCAGCATGGGGCTCATAGCTGGCTACCCACATCCCCATTGTACTTTCGTCTTGAAGGGACCAGACCCACAGTTAACCCCCCCCGCTTTAGCAGTCTTGATAGGCTGCATAAAAGACCCAGCAAGATGTAGGCCTCTGACTCAGCTCATGTTGCTGAGTTTCCAGCCTTCTGACCTTGCTAGACCTGCCCTGGTCACTAGGAGGTCAGATACCCTGAGGTTATGCCCAGTCCATGAGACCCCCCAAAAAGAACACCAAGGAGCTAATTCACAGATGCCAACACACAAGGTTTCCTTTAATGGGATACAAGTCCTAGAAGGGACCTTGTCCAGCAAGCTAACGAATCAGCTGTGGGGAGTGGGGGGGGGGGAGGCAAGACCCCAACCCCCTATTGCAGGAAGCTTATAAAGGCAAAAAAAAAACCCATACAGTTGGCCAAGGTTAAACAAGGGCATTGGGGCCAAGGTTAAACAGGAGCATTGGGGTCGAAAGTTGGTTAGTCATTTATCTCGGGAGGGGATCGAGGGATTTCTATTGCCTATCTCCAGGCATGCTCACAGTCAGGCAGTTACAGTTATCTGCTCTTCCAAGGGCAAAGAACTAACAATTGGGCATAGCTTGGGGGTAGATTCCTTTTTCCAAGAACTGGGGTTTAGGCCTGAGCTGTCTTTCACGTACACAGGTCAAGGGGACTAAGCAGGCAGCAGTTCTAGTCTTGCACTCCATGTGGCAAGGGACCAATCATAAGTTAACTGGCGAGCTCCTGATGTGCTTTATGGTAACAATGGCATAACAGTGGCATACAGAGCATAGCAACCGCCCTGGGAGGGCCCATAGGTCATAGTAATGAGTTGACCAATCAACTCAGGACAGGTCGTCCAAGCCAGGAAGTGCACCAATCCTGAGACTGTTGTGGACCCCAGACACTCTCCTTGCTCTATCCAATAAATTCCCTGCCTTGTGGCTCCTTTGGGTCCTTCTCATTCCATCCACTGCAAAGGACAAGTGGAGGAACCGAGTTAAATAAATGTAGTTAAATAGTTAAATTATTAAAGACTCTTTGCTTTTGCATCAGAATGGGTCTGTTGGTGATTTAGGGGTCCAGAATTTGGACACAACAATCCAACCCTGGGAATGTCCAAGACTCACACAATTGATTACTCTTGGAAACTTCCTTGTTTGCATATCTTGACCTCTCAATGACCTTTGTTTGAGTAGGTTTTCCCTGACCTGGCTCTTGGAGCCATCCTGTGGTCCCAGAACTAGCAGCTCTGGATTCCACAGTCTCGGATCCCTTGCAGTATCTCCCATCTCTCCTTCACTTAAGCCAGAAGAGAAGCCCCATGTGTGGCTACAACACAGCCAGCATGGAGCTCAGGATTTTAGGAGGTGGAAGACTTTTGAGTAGGCTTCAATACCAATGAACTCAGAATCTTGTTTGTTTGTTTTAGAGATGGGGTTTCCCTATATAACAGCCCTGGTTGTCCTGGAACTCAGTTTGTAGACCAGGCTGTCCTCAAACTTGCAGAGCTTTGCCTGCCTCTGCCTCCCGAGTGCTAAACTGAGACTTCTTAAACTGGCTTCACTTAGTCTCTGTTAGTTTGGGTGTAAAATGTCTCTCTCCTGCTTCAAGTCTTATTTCTACAACATCCTGCCCCTCCATCACCCCCCCCCTTGTTGTTCTGTCTGTGTGCAAGGCAGGAGGAGTGGAGTCCTGGTGCACCACGAGCGTGTGTCATGAAGACAGATGCGCAGTCAAGAAGCCATAAAGGCAATTGTGTCCTCCAGGCCAGACACCCACCTCTGGCTAAGATTCACAAGCGACTTCTGACCTTAGAAAACAGCAGAGTCCAAACCCGGGTGGAATTTTAATCTTTCAGGACAGGAAAGAGGGTTCAAATACCATGAGGGTTTCAGTGTCAGCCTGATTAACTGGGAGTTTTAGTGAAATTAATTAACGTGACTTAGAGTCTGTGAGGTGACATAAAACATATCTGCAGGACTGCCTCTTTCTCGTGATAATTGAGAGGTGCTTAACACCTTATAGATTAGAGGCTGAGAAAGTCAGTGTGGCTTGCTGAAGACATACAGACAAAGGTGGGGCCTCCCTGGTCGCATGCAGGCTGGCAGATGGTTTGAATAACATGGCCTTGTGACCTTGTCATGACATGACTTTGTGTGTCACCATCCCTAATTGTAATGGATTTCCTAGAAGATGATAGTGTTGATTTTTTAAAATAATTAGTTAAGGCAAGTGAATGCTTTTGTTGGTCTGCTTATTTATTTTTTTGAGACAGGATTGCACATATCAGCTGGCCCTGAACTCACTGTGTAGCTCACTGATGACCTTGAACTTCAGTCCCCATGTCTGGCCCTCCCCGGTGCTGAGGTGGCAAGTGTGTACCCAATGGTACACACCTGATGTTTTGTGTGGCTTCCGTAATGGAGCTCTTCAACAACTCACAATGCTGCATCTCCAACCCCAGGATGCTTTTGTGTCTAGGTGCAGCATTCCCTGCAGAGCATCTTTAAAAACACAAGAGAGAAGTACACACAAGCATGAGCATGCATGTATCATGGATACATGTGGGCACACAGCTGTGTATGCCTATGCAAATTCTAGATTGTATTATCTTCAAAGCTCCATGGGAAGGTGTGCCTAGAGGGCGGCCACTTCCACTGCAAAGCTCCAGCGCTGCTTTAGCTGCTTTAGAAACCGTGAGGAAGACCTTGGACAAGGACAACTCAGTTATCAGGAGGACTCGTCATTCCTGGGGGAAGGCTCTGACAAGCCCATGCTGCTAATGTGGTGGGTTTTTTCCTCACCTGCCTTTGAACAGAATGATTTCTTATCTTCAGTGTCAGTCATCCATGGTGTATTTTCAGGAGCTGTGTTGGAGGAGAATAGTCCATTTTAAATCCAAGGGTCACTTACAAGTCATCTTTGCCTGTGATTTCTTCGAACTCAGAAACACAAGCAGCCCCTCCCCCACCACAACCCCTGGGCAGGAGCTCTGGGTGGAATGAGGAGAACCGTTCACACTCTGGAATCGGCATAGACATGTGATTATCGCTAAACTTGCAAACACTGATTATCTATTGTACTTATGAGTGACATTTTAGATACTCCACTAATTAAAATCACTATTCTCAAAAATGACCAGGCCCATGGAAGTACTATTCCCATCTCTAGGCATGGAATGGATTGTTTTTTCAAAACCCAGAGGTTGATTTACTATCTGTCCACTTCCAAGGAGCACATAACTCATCTTGAGGACTATAAAGCAAAATCCCATTCAGTGCTTCTGAATAAAACATTTGTCCCTGAGCCTTCAGACAGTAATTTATGTGTGACAGGGTTCCATGGGGATCCAGGCAGCTGCTAAACTGCCCCAGGGGGAGGCACAAGGCCAAGAAGACTTGACATTTCTTGCCTTTGCTCTTCTTGAGCTGGCCTGATAAGGAGAAGGGGTGGCAGGATGCTGACCTTCTCTTCTCAATTCCAAAAGAGTTCAGGCACAATCCTTCCAAATTTCCTTGGGACTTGTGCCCTGTAAATGCCTCAACTGCCCCATGTTTCCTAGGAGAAGGGATCAAAAGTTTCTCCTTGTGAGTTGCCATATTGGGACACAGCACATCAACCTGCAGACATATGGTAGGTGGCAGTGGCTTGTCAGCTGGTGGGCTGAAGGCTTCTGTGACACCTTAGACCCAAGGCTCTCAGCCCGTGGGTTGTGATGTGAGAGCCAACGTTGCATTGTAAGTTTTAGTTGCTATGACTAAGAAATCCATGAAACAAAAATGCCTCTTATCTTTAAGCCTCTTGCCCAAGGACAGACAGTTCCTGAAAAGCTGGAAGCTATTGTTTACAGAAGACAACAAGCCACATGTTTTCACTCTCCTGAACAAGTTTGTTTGACCCATCTGTACCGGATGTGCTTGATCACAGGCAAGGATGTGTGGGAGGTTCACAGGCAAGAAATACGTCATGATGCACACTTGCCCCTGACTGGATGTAGGCAGGTGGTATGTGGAGAGCCGAAACTCCAGATCAAGCCTTCCCCCAGCCTTAGCTCCTGGAGTCTATGTTGCGTGCAACAGGCCTAGGGCCAAAACTGAACGCAAAGGAACTCCAAACCCTCCTAGCCCAGATACTTGGATCCTGGGGACCGTTTGGCCGCAAAAGAAACTCCCCTGTAGTCTCCAGGAAATTCAGTGCTGAAAAATATCAGTACAATAGGCAAGGCATAGAAACCACAGAATGTTCCCTCCCAGCACCAACCTATGAGAAAAATGGGTACACAGGTATTGCACGCCAAAAGCATGACTTTGAAAATTTTCTTGATTGTTCCACAAATGTCAACCAATCAGAAACCATCACATACCTACTGATGTAACACTGTAACTTTTGTCTATAAAAACTAGCAGTAGACAGTGAACTTCACACCTCTGAAGGCTGCTGCGTCAGCTTGCTAGACGGGTTCCCTCCCGAGGTAGGATAGAACAATAAACCTTGTGCATTTGTGTCGGTGGTCTGTCTCCCTAGTCTCTTTGGGGATCCTTGTGACTTGGGCACGACAGTATGTAAACAGGAAATATATCAGCATGTATTTTTGCCCCTTATTGGGAAATATGCATTGTGGGTTTGTCGTTTTTAAGCCCCTGAAAACTGTGACTTGAGGCTGTTTTCTGGAAACCCAGAGATGGACCTGACCAGAGCCCATTCACCAGGCCAGTGTTTAATTAAAGCTTGCTTCAAATTTGGCTTTAAATTGTGGTAGTGATCTTATTCTCGACTGATGTGATTAACAGCGACCATCGGAAAACAGAACTGAGACACCACTCAGCAGCAAAATTACAGTTATGAAGTAGCAAGGAAAATAAATTTATGGCTGAGGATCACCACAACAGGAAGAACTGTATTAAAAGGTCACAACACTAGGAAAGGTGAGTACCATTGCCTTAGATTAAGCCATGTATATGCCTTCCTATGCTTGGGAGGAACCACTCAGTGTTGTGCTCAATCTAAAACCTCTGAGGAGTCAAATAACCACCGACTGTAAGAGCAAAAGGTTTTTTAAATTAGTAACAGAAGCGGCCGGAGCCTAACTCTATCAGGAGAGTAAGGCCCCATCTTACAATTAAAGGGAAGAAAGGGGAGAGGGATCTTGAGACTTCAAGTCTCAGTTCCCAAGGTTTCCATGGTTACAGAGATTACTTAGCATACAAAGTTTCCATACAAGGTTATCATGAACCAAAGGGCCTTGAAGAAGACAGTAACTATCACCTGGTTAGGTAAAATGAATCGGCACATCCTGTGATCTAAAAGTTTTAGGACGGGTAGGGCAAGAGGCCATCTGGTTCCTTGTCTTCTCAAGGCAAGGCGGCAGTGGAAGATGTTGATGCAGATGCTCGTGGGTCCGAGATTTGTGGTCATGTACTCCATGGTGGGGGGGGAGCTCTCTTTCTTTCTTTGTTACAGCCTAAATGTTTATGTCTCTTAGTTATTAATTTTCCCACCACACTCAGGACTCCTCCTACACAGTTCTGCTTGCTTTCTGCAATAAATTTCCCTTCTAAGCTTTGCCCCATAATAAAATTCCTTTCTAAAAGTTATTTTCCTGCTATCTGTGAAAGTCGTGTTTCTACTTCTAGAGACAAAGGACCAGGAAGTCACAGGCCCAGGGTAGCATTAGTGGACACTGATTGTCCAGGACTGTAGCCTTCTGAGTATTGCTCACCCATGAGGATAAAGACCCTGTCACACTCAGGGACCCTTATCCTGCTTTTCCTGACCCAGCTGGAATGACTAAATTTAGTCTTGCTATTTCTAGGTTTTCCTTTTAGCTTTTGTGTCACGGTGGCTTCTCTGGCGGTTGCTCCATGCTTTCTAAGGTGTACTGACTCTCATTCCAAATTTCAGGGCTGTTAAATCTCTCTCACACACTAGAAACAAAGACAAAAGGCTAACAAATGCAAATATAGGCAGAGCGGCCTCCACTGCAGGACAGAGAGGTCCTGTGCTACCTGCAGTGTACCTGTTAACTGAAGTAAGTCCCAGCAACTTAAGAAAGGAAGCTGTCTTCTGTATAGTCTTAATGGGCCAGTCCATGGCTGCTTGGCCCTAGGCTTTCAGTAGAAAGTGTGGTGTCATAAGGCCAACCAGTGTGGGCCAACCAGGAAGCAGAGACAAATGGACTCCTAGCCACAGGCTAGCTGTCATGGTCAGAACCTTTACTTCTTCTAGGTTCCGGCCTGTGCAATGGGACCATCTACATTGGTTTCTCCTTCAGTTTCAGCCTCTGAGGATGCCTACAGGGCACTGCACAGCAGGGGTGTGCGTCGTCGGTCTCCTAGCTGATTCCAGTTTAGCCAAGTGAACAGTGCAAATGACCCTGGGACACCTTATCGAAGACTGATACGGTGGATCACATTTAGTTTCTTTGCATTACTTAACAGGAGCCTTGGTGTTTTCTTCATCTGTCATGCCCGTCAGTGTTTCTGGAATCAAAGAAGTCTGAGTGTGTTTGTAGAAATACTGAGTTTCCCAGTGACTGGGAGGGATAGCATGGAGCTGGGAGCCAGTGCCTGGGAAAAGAAGATTAAAGTTGGTGCCTCTCTCCGGACCCCAGTGAGGAACTGGAAGGAATGTTTCCATTTCTAAAAAGTCTTCCCGATGCAGGGCAGTCTTCAGACATTGCTTTGTGAGTGCCACAGACATATTAGAACCCTGCAGATAAATGATATCCATGGTAACCATGTATACAGAACATTTCCTTGGTCTTCTCACTGAAGCCAGCAGCACGGAAAGGGCCGGTGATCCTGGAAATCTAGTTTTGTGAGGATAACTCTTTATTTATTTCCTGTTCGCTGTATTTTCTCATTATAGCAATTTTTAAACTTTAAAAACAATCTATGGACTATTATTCTGTGTGCATTATGTACACATATGGGTACCTTGTGGGGTTGGTTCTCTCCTTCCCAATGTACATCGGCTCCAGGGGTTAAACTCAAGTTGCTAGGGTTGCATGTGTCTTTACCTATTGAGCCATCTTGCTGGCCCAATTACAGCAATTTCCTTTCTAGCTCTTCCCACTATTCTTGTATTCTGGTGGGAGAACAACATTTAACTTATTTCCATTAGTTAACATGAGTCTTGATCTTTTTCTTATGATCTGTGACAGCCTGAATTTCTAATTTAGTTATCAGCCTATAACCATATTCTATAGAAAATGATTGGAAGCACTTGCTTGGCTTACAAAACTCAGCTCCCTTCCACATTCTTATTTAGATTAGGAGTAGACTTGACGGTTGACATCTGATCCTTTCTGTCCATTAGTGAGTCAGAATGCTGACCTGAGTCATGGAAGGTTCTAGAGACCAGTTGAGCCATCTCTCTCACTACAATGAGATGTCATTAATCTCCATGGAAAATATTATCTAAGTGGACTGCTACCTCTCTAACTTGCTAATGAAACAACTCCAGTAGAGTGTTATATGTAGCTTGCTTGTGATCAGAAGATTAATTGTAACTTAATTGGCTTTGTGATCATGTGACACCGAAGGCCCTCCCACGCCAGCTTCCCTTCCATGCACTGAAGCCCTGAAGAGACTGGACACGGGAAGCAGCGGCGAGAGTAGCAGAGCTGAGACAGGGAGGGTGCTGCTTCTAGCTAGAAATGCTGAGTTTGCCCATGTCCTGCCAAGGCACTGGGTATGTCAGAGTTCCTGCCTGGTCTACACTTGCAATCTAACAGGGAAGTAAAGACCAATCCGGAACAATGCAGGAGGAAAGGGGAGGACTTTGGAACTTTCTAGCCAGGCACCAGAGAGGATGCTGAGACAATGTGCTGGGTGTCTGGACAGAGTAAGCTTACAGAGAAAGGGACTTAGCATCTATAGATCCAGATCTGGTGGGCATTTGGAGGCTCCTGAGGTAGCATATCTCCTCACCTCGTGAGCTGCTTTAAAAAGCACACGGGCAAAAATGAAGTCTAAAGCTTAAGCTATTGCTCTAGTCCTTAACCAATGCTATTTCCATGTTATAAGTGAAGCTTTCCTGACACCCCCAAGTCAGCCACGTGGAGAGGTCCAGGGTAGAGACCTTAAGAACCCAGCTGACAGAGAGCACTGAGCCCCAGTGTGGGGTCTGAAGTGAGGAACTGGGGGGGAATCTAGCTCATCCTTTCAGCCACAGCCAGCGGCTGGTCCCTCCTAGGATCCCAAACTCTCTGAGGACCCAGATGTCCTAACAAGCTCAGCCCATAACTTCTAAAGGACAGCAGGGGTTTCTCCATTGCTTCATAGAAGTTGTGCCCTGTACCAAGGTCAGGACTCTGCTGTTCACTAGTCAAATGTGGTCACATAATCAGCATGGTGGCCTCAAAGAAATGCACAATGTCTTCCAAGTGGCTCTGAGATCTGGCCTGTGAAGAATCCTGCTGTGAAATAACCTCCTATATACCGTGTGAATGTAGGTCACTATGCTTGGCTTAGCAGCAAGCAGCCTGGCCAATAGCTGAACAGGATAAAGGTAGGTGGGAATTCCAAATGGAGAATGCTGGGAAGGGGAAGTGGGAAATCAGGAGTCACCACCCAGACTCTTCAGAGGGAGCAGGAGACAAATGTGCTATACTAATAAAGATACCACCAGATGGCAGAGCCTAAATAAGGAATATGGGTTAACTTAAAATGTAAGAGCCATTTAGTAATAAGCCTGAGCTACTGGACAAGCATTTACAATTAATATAAGTCTCTGTGTAGCAATTTGGAAGTGGCTCCCAGGACAGGAAAACTCTGCCTACAGACTCCTGTCCTATGTGGATACATATTGGAAGTTATTGATTGTCACTCCAAGAGGATCTGGGAGATTGGAGCCATTCACAACTGATTTTATACCTCTGATTCAGTTAGGCTGGCCAGAGAATCAGAGGGTCCTCCTATCCCTGCATCGCCTGCACTGGGATTATAGTTGTGCACCACCAGGCCTGTCTTTCAGCTTTGTATTAGAGCTGTGAATTCTATGCCAAGACACTAAAACTGACAATTCTTTTTAGCACACTTAGTTAGCACTGGTTTGTCTGATTTTTGCAGTATTCTGTTTGTCATAAAGTATTTTTGTCTGTGGCAAGATCCATCTTCTACTAATAGGTGTGGCAACTCTGCTGTCTCTCCATCTCATAGTTAATTAAATGGGGGTATCATGACCTGGGAAGCTAGGTTTAGGTTACCCCAAATACAGTATTCTAATATGAGGCAGTTTCATGGGAGTTTTACAGTAACTGAAAAACAGAAAGTTATAAATCAAAGCATTTAAAAAGATATTTTGGAGGAACCAAGGCAGGTTACAGTAAAGTGGGTGGTACTCTGCAATAGACCTTGGATACTGTCTGGTAACATGCTTAGCTCTCTTATTGGTGGAAAACTAGGGTTTTGTTAAGTTAAAACACCCCAGAAGGTCTTTATGTATTTGTCAGGATGTTATGTTGGGCTAGTAGCAGGATGTTAGGTCTGATCCAGATGAGAAAGAATGGCCTTTTAGTAGGCTAACAATCATCCAGGAAGAGCGGCCAGTGCTCTTAACCAATGAGCCAACTCTCCAGTCCCCATTGAAGTTTTAATCGGTCATTTAGCCTGTACAGACAGCTTCTTCCCAGGAAGTGTTGCTCACACTTTCTCCTTTAGTTTTCTGGACTCTTCTCTGAGGTGTGTGTGTGTGTGTGTGTGTGTGTGTGTGTGTGTGTGTGTGTGTGTGATCATGTTTGTGTATGAGGAAGTTGAGTCCCTAACAGGCCAGGGATAGGCCCAGTATCTCATATAGGAGAGAAAGTCACATGATTTCAATCTTCTTAAGGTTTTAAAGATAAATGGCACTTACCAAAAAAGTCAGTATAACCTACTAGAAGCTTTTTTGTACCTTTGGACTTTTAACCTAGCATGTGACTCCTTCCGATGAATGAAGGAATCCTTTCCAGTTTATGCATGCATTAAAAAGGTTCAGGGTATTGTGGATCCAGGAAAGGGAATATCTGTGGTCTTACCTGTAGAAGATAGCAAGGACAGACCACAGAAACAGTTCCATCCAAGTTCAGCTTGGTGAATGGATAGCTTTGGAGAATTTCTATTTTTTATTAATTTTTATTTAAATTAAAAACTGTCTTATTTTACATACCAATCCTAGTTCCCTCTCCTTCCCATCCTCACATTCCCCCATCCTCCACCCCCCACTCACTCCTCCCATGGGGGATCATCAAAGTCTGTCACATCATTTGGGGTAGGACCTCGCCCGTGTTTCTAGGCTGAGAGAGTATCCCTCCATAGGAAATGGGCTCCCAAAGCCCATTTGTTCGATAGGAATTAATACTGGTCCCACTGCCAGAGGCCCCATAGACTTCCCAGGTCCTCCAACTGACACCCACATTCAGGGGGCCTGGTTCGGTCCTATGCTCTTTCCCCAACTGTCTGACTGGAGTCTGTGAGCTCCCACTTGCTCAGGTCAGCTGTTTCTGTGGATTTCCACAGCATGGTCTTGACCTCTTTGCTCATCACTCCTCCCTCTCTATCACTGGATTCCTGGCTCAATTTCTTGCAGGAACTCAGGAGACATAGGCATCTGGGTGAGGGGAAAGCCCCGCCCCAGCAATAATGACAATCCATGAAAGATGCATCTCAGCAGTTCCCCGTGCAAATGACAGGCGGCTTCCCTGAAGATTTTCCTTGCCCCCGAGACTGGTCAGTGCTCGTGTAAGTGAGAGGGGGGATTTCTGCGTCTTACAGTTTTAATCACTTTCCTGAGTTGTGTTTCCAGCGAGTGTCTTGAGCCTCTTTGGCCCTCCCTGTGCTCTTCAGGAGAGGATTGGTTCAGAGCAAACAGCTAACACGGGTCAACAAAGCATGTGTGGAGCCTTCTACTGAGCCTGACTTATCCAGTTACAGTGCAGTAGCTGTCTTCTGGAATCCGAGATGTTCCTTAAGTGTTCAGGGAGAGAGTTGTATGAACCCTCAAAGATGGAACTTTCTAGAGAAAGAGGGTGGGCAGCATCTTCCCAGAAAAATGTGGTTGAGGATGGGTCTTGCTTTGTTGTTGAAAGGCATCTACAAAACACAAGTTGTATCTTTCAGAGGTTCTTCTTGCTTATAGTCGTTCTCGTGATTTTGTTTTGTAAAATGCACTTTTCTCTTTTCTCCAGCACACTGTCTTCAACACTATGCTTCACATCTCTTCCAGTCAAATAAGGCTGGAAGTTGGCCGTCAATAAGTGCTGCTTCCACAGCCAGCACAAGGATGTGCGTTTCAATTCCCAGCACCCACACAAAAAGGGAGGTTTGGTGGTAGGCATGTTTAGTACTAGTGTTGGGGAGGTGGAGGCAGGAGGATCCCTGGAGCTCACTGGCCAGTCAGCATAGCTGTTTGGGAAGTTCCAGACTGTGAGGAGCCGCCCTCACTATCGCTATCGCCATTAGAAGATGGCGCTGACATCTGCTGTCAGTTGGAGTTTACCGTTTAAGCTGTGCCTCACCCGTCATCTGGGGTGATGAGCAAACCACCAATCCCGGCTCTACACGTCTCACTCGGAGCTCCTAGGCTTATATAAGGGGCTGGGTTTCTTAGCTTGGGGTCTCCCTCTCAGAAGCTGATCATCTATCTCTCAAGATGTATTAAAGCTTTACTGCAGAAGGATCCGAGTGTC